GCCACAACTGCAACTTATTCTGTAAACCATATCTTCCTTAATCCTTAATCCTCAATACTTCTTAAAACATATATGCACAAGATCAAACAAGTATTTCTTAGGCTCACATTTAGAAAACACAAAAGGATTCTTCTCTGGTCATTTGTTTGCAGAAAAGCATACCCACTTGTGTCAATGTTGTTAATGTCAACCCTGAATCAACAATCTTCTTGTGAGAGAAGAATTTACTGCACAAAAAAAAAATCCAAAGAATCATGTTCCCAAGCTGGGAAGAAAGTGCCTATGCTGGTCAAAATTTCAAAATGGTAAAATTTGAGAGGAATCAGTAGAGAACAGGCACTGGAGGTAAGAGACACAGCAGATTGCACCAAACATTTTGGTAGTTTATCGTATGCTATCAAACAGCAAGCAGTTTTTCTTCTGACTCCTTCCATTACAGTTTTACTGTATTTGAGTTAAAACATTGAATAAGCTTAATTATAGCAACCAAACAACACACCTCTTCTAATCTCTCAATGATTTAAGTGAGATGGATTAACACCAAACGGAGGTATTTCTTAGGTACAACGTGAGAAACTCCCAAAGCACTATGCGTAAGCTCCTCTGAAAAAAAATATATGAAGTAACCCATGCCTGATGTTTGCTTTCAATGCAGAGAGTGAAACGACATCATTTAATGCAACATGGCAGGCTGTAACTTGTAGACTGAAAAACATTACCATTAATCATGGTATTAGAGCCATTTCTCATGGTATTAGAGCTCCGCAACAGAGCCATTTCTCACTAGTCCTAAAGATGGAATTTTTTTTTCCTAAAAAAAATGCTTAACTGCTGCTTTATTAAGCTTTAGTATGTGACCTGAAATTAAATTTCAGCCTGTTTACTTTAAGAATGTAACCCAGTGAAATTTCCGGCTGTACTGGCTATCAAGCCACTTCATCACATGCTACCACGCTTATGCCACTGTCAGCATTGAGCCCTGATTAGCTTCCCCCAGCTGGGAACTTGCAGGCTAATGCACATGCAACCTTGTACAGGTGGCTAAGTGAGCCAGCCCCCACAGCTGTGGATAACCTCCCATACAGATGTGTTAACAGCAACATCCTACCCAAGCAGGGGCTGCAGGGCCTCAAACCTTCCCATGTGTCACCAGGGTTTTTCTCCCACTAGGATCTCATCTCCAGAGGTTAAACTTTGCATCTAAAGAGGGAGGAGGAAGTGAAAGGAAAGATTTTCAGCAGAAGTATTAATGTCACTGCTATATGACTTACCATAAACTAACTCAACTGATATTCAAAAGATACATACTGACAGCAATGTCTCAACTTCTTGAATTATGAATTTGAGAACACCAGCATGCACAAATACATTAAATAGATTCCAAAGCTAAGCAATCACAGACCTAAACATGAGGTGCTGGGTCTACTAGCTGTGTACTTCTCAAACTAATTGAAGCAAAAGATTCATTCAGTTGGTTTTAAAAGCACATTATTTGATCAGACAGCTGATGTGGACATCAGCTAAAACAGCAGTCAAAAATATACCAATATTTTCTTTACGAGAATACAGACAATGAAAGTGATGTATTCTTTGCAGATACCTTAAATAACTTTGAGAGGGTGGTACACAGATCAAAATTTTTTTGCTCCAATTCTGGGTCAAGATCCTAGGAAAAAAATCTAACTAACCACAGATTTGGGAAGTTTGCCTTAATTTCGTTTACTCTAAATCAAAATAGAGCCTTGATTTTCATTCTAGTTCTGCATAAAACAGCCTTTGATTCAAGTCCAGGCCACGCTCAAATGCAACTTGGCATGTCATGACCTATGTACTAACTGCACACAAGCAAGAGCTCAAACATAGACTCTGACTTCTGGAATATTGCCTAGGAAGAAAGGTTATGCTTTGCCATTAACTCCATCTTCTATAGACAGTGTCAACAAGAGAAAACCATTGCATTGAACTACTTTTGCAATACTGGTTTGAACCACCAGACCCTGTAACAAGAACTCAAAACACAGAAAAGGTTTCACTTCTGAGGCCCCCAGTATCAGTGCCTTTTAAAAAGTGCAGAGTTCTGGCACATAGGTCTACTTAATGAGTTGTTTTGACCTTTGTACTGTACAAAGTACAAAAACAAAACAAAGCCCTGGACAATGCCACGTGCACATGTCTATCCAAAGGAGCCTCCTCAGTGCCTGCTCTTTTAGTACTGGTAGATATAGTCACAAGTGACATCTGTTCCTTTCCCCCCAGGCAGAGGGAAGAACAGGAAGGCTGCAAGACAGAAACGAAGTTCAGGGAAGGACTCTGAATAAACTGAAATGGGACATATAGCTCTAAGGTCAAATTCTCTTACACTGAATAGCTTTGTATGTTAAATAACAGAAAACATTGGAACATTGCTTTCACTCTTCCAAAAGGACAGATGCCTCTTAGGAATATTCAGGATTCGCTGTTTGGGATGCTGATGCAAGTTTTAACATCAGGAACTGTTGCCCATAACTTGAACCTAGTAGGAAAGTAAAAAGTTCCTTTTAAAAGGCTATGTGGTACCCTGGGGACATATTTCAAGTGTTTAGCAAAACATGCAAAGGGGAAAATGAGATTATTAAAAATAGTTTTTCCATAGAATTTAAGTGAACTCTGATGAAAGACTGGATAGCCTCAAAGGCCTCAATTCTGCAAATCATAACTGAACAGTTTAGATGAAAAGCAACAAAAAGTTTTTCAATTAGAAGCTTAAATATAAGGCATAATCAACAAAAAACGCAGCAGAATGGGACAGCAGCTTTTTCCCATTCACACAGCACAGTGATTGACACTGTTTTATTAGAGATCTGAGCAGCCTTCCCTTTTCTGAAGGCCTAACAAATTACTGACAGAGGAACAAGTAATTTGACAAATCAGTGAGCAGAATTTAGTCTTTGGCCTGCAGGCACAAATTCCCAGTGTAAACTTTGAAATCAAAAGTCTTCCTTGGCAGCCAAGGCCTATGCAGCCCAAAACTCGTTTCTGAAATAGACACCATTTCCTCCACACTTAACCAGCTTTTACACAATTTTTAAAACACAGCTGAAGATGAATCATCTAGATTGAATAACCTACTTGAAACACCTAGATTGAATAACCTCTTTGAAAAGATGCACTCGCAAAGCTAGAAAAGACAGCATATAGCCAAAAAGCTTAAATTCAGTTCTTTATTTCAGAAATATAAGCAAGACATTATTTAGCAGAAACCACTAAAATGAAAGATCAAGTCTGGCTTATTCTTTTCCAAGTGTTATTAGGATTTTATGTTCTAGCAAGAAGTATTTCTGTCCATTTACGTGGCTCTTTCTACTGCTTCTACTATCCTGATCAGGTAAAAATACATGAAATTACGTAGTAAAGCAGACTATCATTTTACATTGTTTTACCACATCTATCGCATGGCACATCATTTTTCACAACAGGTTAACAGATAAATGAGTTCGAGTACAAGCAGTTTTCTACAATGATTCCCTTTATATAACAACAATTAATACCAACTCTTCTTTATCTATCTGCCATCACTTCATGGGAGGCCAATTCACATTTAAGGAAAAAAATACACTACCAGAGGAAGAATTCCTATTTGAAATTCAGTTCAAGGACACACAAGGATCCCCAATATTTAAAAGCTGGATTTGAGAAGTTTGCATAGCATTTGGTTGAGTTACAGTTAGTAGCTGTACTCCAAAATTCTTTATATCACTTATGCTCCTTGCAATCCAAATGGTAATGAGGCAATATCAGCAGGCCGATAAGGAAAGCAAGTATTTCAAAGTAGAGATGATACTGTGGAACTGATACCTGGGTTAGTTACAGCTACAGTCATCTTTGCTTTGGCAAGAAAAGAAGAAAGCAGACAGAACAGTTATTAAAATCAGCTAGGATTTGAGATGCAGCAATTGTCTGGTCTTGCCAAGTACAGTCCAAGGTCATAATTGACATAAAGTCTAACTGCAGCATTCCATGGGTGTAGCAGGCTTTTAACCACAACTCAAGCAATCATCTTGAACATGATTACCCCATAAATGAATAATCATCCTGCCATATAACTACCTAAAAAAACAAAAGTAGGATTTTAGCATTTATCCGTAATTTAAATCTTGATTTTGCTGGAAAAGCATTAATGCTGATGTGCTTTTAGTCCAACAGCATATATATCTATATTCAACCAAGATAACACCAGAAATTCCATAATGGTCATTCATCACTTCCTCTAGGTTCTCAACTATAAACACATCCTTTTTGTCTTAGTTTAAGAGCTAATTGGCAATTATACTCAAGGACTGAAGATAATACTACACTAAAGAAATTCCTTTGATCTAAGTAGCAACAGGAAACCATTTAGTCCAATGGGTTCCAAGTTTTTTTGCGTTGATGACAGCTAAACTGCTAGACAACAGTCTAATTTTAATAAAATCGGAGGGGTTTTATATAGGCATATACACACAGAAACAGGTATCAAGCAAAATCTATATTTTGAAACTAAACATTTTAGCTTGCTCCACTTAAAATAAGTCTTTCTAGTTTCTTATAAGCAAACTATTGCACATGTATTGTTTTCCTTTGAATTTTTTTCCTTCCAGAAGTAATGTCAAGAAATACAAAATATCATCTCTATTGTTAGAAATAACAAGCAACATCAATTTATCAACATGGACATGAGCCCTAACGATAATCAGAGTATCAATATAGAAGTTCTACTCTGTAATTTAGCTGGAAAAGTCTTGCAATGAAAAAACAAAAAAATAGCAATATTTTGATTAAACTTAATGCCTGCTCCTAGAAGTGAAGATATTTAGTTACAGATTTCCTTAAAAATCACAATACATTGTTAATGAACATTAGAGCACTAGTGTTGAAAGGCACTAGGGTTGCTAACTTGAGTTGCTTTCCATTTCCATGCAGGTTTAGGCACTTGAAAAATTAATAGGTCAAGCCTGTAAAACGCTGTGTTACTTGTGCGGAAGTCTGCTACATTCATTAATGTCTTCAGTAGCTTGTCCTGCAGTTATGTGGATGCAAAAGGCAAGAGCAGAGCAAACCTCTAGCGCAGTTTACAGGTTGGATCTTTCTTTAGCCGCCACACTGGATGTGGATTGTGTGTATGTCCTAATTACATCCTAAAAACGAAGCAAGAGAAAAAACAGGATAAGTTCCATTAGCGAGCTTCAAAAACAATTGTGTACTTAATATATTGTTATTGTACACAGTAAATACTAAAATCTGTAGATTTCCTAAAACGTTTCATTACCATTAATGGAAGTGGGTAACCATATGCTCTGAATAATTAGCCTGAACACATTGTATAGCATTTATAATTACCTTCTACAACCATTGCAAAAGCCAAATGAACTGAAACTATTGTAAATCATTAATCAACACTTAAACAGAGTGATGTTCCCCGTGTGTCAATTCTACACACACTGACTTTTCCCAGGTTAACCTGGGAGACTGAGTCCTCACTTCAGTGAATATACAAAACAAACTAAAAAATTCAAAACTCAACCACAGAATTAGCATACCTTTTTCCCAGCTTCAGCATTGTATTTGTCCAGTAGTGCCTGAATACGAGCCCCATAGTCAGGATGAACATCAGTAAAGTTTTTCACCTAAACAGAAAGACAAGCAGAACAAGAGAGGCCACAGATTTTATTTCTGTTTCGGATGTATTGTTCATTCTTTTACTACTTCATGATCTGCAATCCATATCATAAGCAGAATAATGCCTTCCCCAAAATAAGTTTAATCTTAACCAACCAGAAAGGAGCTTTGATCATATTCCACACAAGTTTTTATTATGTCACATACAAATCACATTGTCCCTCTTTCCTGATTAAACAAAATACCACTAATAAAGAGGAAGATCCAATCTGACTTTCACACCCTTTCCTTTGTTTAGGTCAAAACCATCCTAGTAGTCATCTCTTTAAACAGGAACTTCAAAATATCCTAACATCCTTGATGAAGGATTCTTTCCATTAGGGAGAAGAAGAATTTTTATTTTACATTTATATTACATACACACTGTGCATATTTACATGATTTGTTCTGGACTGGTAACTCTTGCATAAAGAGAAATTATTGTTTCATTCCATCAGCATATTGCCATCTTCACACAATATTAAGAGATTGCAAGAAAACCTGTATTAAAGGCTAAAAAAGTGAACAGGACACTTACAGCTCTTTTCTGAATGAAGAGTTGAGCGTCTTTAAGATGATCAGCAATGTTTTTACACAGCCTTTGGCGTTCATCCTCCTTCAGCACTTTGGTATAGAATACTCGCACCTTATGATAGGAACAAGGGTTTATTTTGCAATTCTAAAACACAAGTGATTCCACCAGCTGCTCAGAACAGTTACAAACTTTCAGGACTCAACATTACTACTAGCTTTCATTTATTGGTCAGATAACAAACAGAAATAGCTTTTTGAGTCATCTGGCAAGCCTGCTAACAACCCTTTTCATTCCTAGTTTGGAAGTCAGTATTGCTTATTTAATTAAAGAAAATAGATGTGTTGAAGAGCTCCAGTTGAACAATTTAGTAATTGATGGCAATAACATTATGGATGTATTCTGGTTTGGAAATTTGCAGAAAACAATTACAGGAAGACTGAAAAAAATCACTACTTCTAAATATCAGTGCTCAGAATACAAATAGGAAAGGTTTGTGCGGATTCACTGTCTGGTCAAACAAACATTCAATTATCCATGAAATGAAGCTGCAAGAGATCTTGCACCATTTCATGACAGCTGAGCTTAAGACTGTCTAGACAGTTTACAAACTTATCTAGAGACATGAGCAACGTAAAGCCTTTTATACATCATCATACCTGGGACACATTATCTTCGTCTGCACTGTTGAAGCGCTGCACGTCACCCGAAAAGAACATACGGCTCTCCTTCACAATCGGCTGATCTTCTGGACCAGTAAAACTATTTGGATAATAGTTCGGGGCACCGCCTGAAACAGGAAATAAGAAAACTCAGATGCCAGCTCTCACACTACTTTGGAAGATGAAAATGTATGTTTTCTATCTTCTATGAAGAGTCTAAATCAATTAACCAATTATGATCCACTTTAATAAAAGTAAGTTCTCAGCGTTTTTCTATCAACATACTGCTCAGGAGTTTGTTATAGCCTCAAGCCAGTGCTGAACAGCCCTGTTCAAAGAAAGTTTCAGGAACTTTTGAGGGAAAAAGTTACTTTGTTTCATTTGATTTTCTTTCATAAGTAAAGAGTTAAGGTCACTTTCACAATATTGGTGGTCAGCCAATATCAGAGAAAGTCATGGAAGTCATTCAAGATTTAGCTCAAGCTGTTCCCAAATGCTTGTTTTGTTTGATTCCAGCTTTCAAATAGGAGGGAAGATACTAACCCTAACTGCATTTTCCCCTAAGTGTTAAGAACACGGGAAAAAAATGTAGGAATGCATGGTCACTTTTCATACAAAGAATTAAACAGGCAAGCACTCCACAGGATCTGTACAGCTGTACTATTCAACACATTCAGTTGTGTTAGCAGAAAAGGCAGCAAATAGTAGAGCTGACGGTATATCTTCCATAAATTAAACCTAGTCAAAGTTAGCAATTTACAGGGACCTCATGCTATTAAAAAAGTTGAATGAAAATTACATTGCTGAACAAAATTTTATTTGCACTGTAAACTACATGAAAATATGAATACTTTATATAGAAAAAAACAAGGGCTCTAGAATATATTACTACGAATCACAAACAAGATCTTGAGTTCACATGGATAGTTTGAAATTACATCGGTATTCACCAGCAATGAGAAAGTAGAGTATTAGGAATGTCAGATAGACGATGCAAAGGCACTCTACAGAAAGGAGTACATGCAGGTTTGCAAAAGTACAGTTCTGGTCAAGTGATCTCAAAGATTCTAGCAATTTAAGAAACAGCACTATAGGGTTGACAAAAAATATCAGAAGTATCAGAACAGTTCTCAAAAGGAAAGAAACAGAAAATAGCAAGTCTTAAGTTCAGAAATGGAGAATAATGAAAGATTGAAGAGAAAAGGTAACATTTTCACAGTAAGAATTTGTAAAATCCAATAAAATAATTGTTGGAAAAGTAGTTTTAATTTCCCTGCAAACAAAAAGTCTATAATACATGCCTAAACATCAACATCATATTGAAAATCTCTTTCATTAATACCTTGGTTGTCAGACACACACATTGGTCCATCTCTCTGATAATTGGCCACACGAGCTCTGAAGGGACAATTCACAGGAAGTTGTAGATAATTAGGGCCCAGACGGTGTCTATGAGTATCAGGATATGCAAAAAGGCGACCCTAAAACATTTGTCAAGTATTAATTGCTATTATCATATATTATACTAAATATATTATAATTACATTAATTGCTATTTGCTGAAAGAAATTTCTTAAGTGGCATATCAGAGTTCAAAGAAGTTGGAGACAGTGGTTTCTTTGCATGTGTTTTGGACAAGTTTCAGATAATGTCCAATAGAAGTCAAGAAACACTAAAGCTCAAGCCAACTTTGTTGAAAATATTGGTGAAAAGTAGCATATTGTGTTCCATTTACGCAGTCTGATCTTTCCTACCAATTACCAATTACACCTGCTCCAGAATTCTAAGACTACTTCCGAAGCAAGGAAATGGTACATACACAGCTGTAGTAACCGAGTATTACCAAGATCAATGTTTTTCCATTCATTTTCAGTCCTACATCTAATAGATTAAATCTGAAATATGTGCATTAACCGTTTGCTAAATTGACCCTGAAGCTGCAGTTCTATAAACACCTGGATACCAAGACATTCTCCAGCTTGTGGGAGTGGAGAGGCAATACAGAAAAACTGCATAATGGTTAAAGTCTTTACACACTTAAAGTATAAAATACTTCAGTGCTTCAAAGGATACACACAGTTACAATCTGTTTATACCCTGAAAACAAACAAAATGAAATATCCACAGCTGTGCAGCTAGCAGAGTGCACTGCAAATAGCCTCCCTCATCTAATTCTACCTGTAGTAAGTGTGCAGTATTACTTCTGCACAGGCTCCCATTTTATAACTAGAGATTAGTTACATCTATTTTATAACATTTGAAGTATTCCTTTTATGGCCATAGAGGAGATTATAACCACCAAGATACACAGTAAAACTGAAAAAAATGCTATACCTTTGCTACAGCTTCACCAAGTGCTAGTAGATTTCACATCAGTTTTAACAATAGTAACAGACCCCATCTGTATTTTTTGTTAGATTTTCTATTCCCTCAGATCTTTCCCATTCTCCTCATACTTAAAAGGTGTATGGGCACATCAAAAAATGGCGTTAAAAACAGTTGCTTTATGTCAGTCTATTTTACTACTATTCTAAGAAAGGGGCAAGGATGCTTTCACAAACAGCAGAAGAAATGCCAGCTACTGTCTAAGTAGCATCATATGCATTTTAGCTTACCTGCAGCATTTTGTCAGGGCTAGGTTCAATACCAGGTGGCATGTTGCTAGGATCAAATGCCATTTGTTCTACCTCTGCAAAGTAATTGACAGGATTCCTGTTTAAGACAAGTCTTCCCACAGGGATGAGAGGGTAGTCACTGTGAGGCCAAATCTGTAAGACAAAACAATGTGCATTTAAAAAAAATGCATGCACCTTATTTTATATTATATAACTTAAAGCTAAAGCTGCCTAGAAAATCTTTATTGAGAAGATAGCTTACCGAAATAATTTTTATTTTGGTAATGAGTATTTTGGGAAGAGTCACACTAAGTAGCCTTTCGCAATTCATACAGAATATTTACATAACTTGTCATCACAGCATAATCTCAGCACTTGAAACTTTAAATGAAATAGCCACAGGCACTTGAAAAACCGCCTAAGAATGCAATATTGTAGGTGGAACAGTCAGCATGAACTGCTTGTTCTCAGCACTTCAGAACACAGCCATCTTAAATAGCCTTTTCCTTGCTACCTAAGTCTGAACTTTCAAATTCAGAACATTTAGTCACTTTCAGGGCTATACATTACTATTCTTACATATGGATTAATATAAAATGTAGTAAATGCCACAACTGAACTCATGACCTTTCATAAAGCAGCTGAAATTAAGTGTTGATAATAGCATCAGAAATACCTTAGTTAAATCAAAAGGATTAAATGGAAACTTCTCTGCTTCTTCAAATGTCATAACTTGAATGTAGAAAGACCACGAAGGATAGTTTCCTTTGGCAATAGCATTGTAAAGATCACGTATTCCATAGTCAGGATCAGTAGAAGCCAATTTTCCTGCTTCTTCAACAGGAAGATTTTTGATGCCCTGATCAGTCTAGGTACAACAAGAACAGTAACACCAGTTACAAGATGAATACTACAGAAATCATTGATAAAAGATGCATACTAGCAAGACTTCAGATCTACAAGAAAAATCATCTCCCTTCCATTCTCCACTAATTTAAGTTCAGAATAATAGTCCATTGAGCTGCCTTCTAGGCTAAAAGCAGCTCTCAGAAGGAGAATTAATGTCATGTTACACCGCAACATCAAATATCAGAAAGGAAATTATGAGCTATGACACACATCAGATGAAGCAGTCTCCCCTCTCCCTTTAAGGGGGGAATATACTTTACACATCCCAGCCTCCCACTTCTTCAAAGCACATGCCAGCACTAAGAATGCACAAAGTGGCAGCCCTCACCATTGAAAGTTCCAATCTTACACAAGTCTTTTTTCTCTCCAGTTTAGCCTTCAATGGTATTGAAAAAACTCCTTTTCATAAGCTTTGAGGCAACTCAAAGGCTTAAAACTGTTATACAATCCCTGTTAATATAATAAGGCTGTTTCTGAAGCCTTTGTTTCAGGGACAAAGGTAGCTCCACAAGCTGAAGGTGGGAGTAGTAAGAAGGTGCATTGTTTCTACATTTTTGAGGGGAATTTGTCACCAAATGAGAAGTGCTGGACTGAGACTGCTTTCAAAAGCATAGCAGTTCTGTGTGCTTCAGTGTCAGAGATCCCAGAACCAGGGCATGTTTTAAATGGGAATTAAAAACAGAGTCAGACTGAAAGAACTTTTAGCTGAGGAGGTACTTGTTTAATCTGAACTTCTGTATT